AAAAAAAAAAAAAAGAATGTTCTCAGCAGCAGTGTTTGTGACATGGAAAATTGAAAACAACTTCAAGTCAGGCAGCAGCAGAAGAGAAACACTGTGCTAATAATCACATAATGGAAAGCTCTGCAGCAGTTTAAATGAACGAACTGGAGCAGCAAACAGCTGTGTGGACACATCCCAAAAACAAGGTTGAGAGGAAAAAAAAGTGTTGCAAAATGTACCTTTTTATATAAGCTTTAAAAAACATGTAGCACAATAGCACATAAAACCAGGTGCTCAGGCCAGGTGCAGTGGCTCACATCTGTAATCCCAGAACTTTTGGGAGGCTTAGGGAGGAGGATTGCTTGAGCCCAGGAGTTCGAGAACAGCCTGGGCCACATAGTGAGACCTCGTTTCTACAAAAAATAAAAATAAAAAATAAAAATAACTGGGCATAGTGGTGCGTGCCTGTAATCCCAGCACTTTGAGAGATTGAGACAGAAGGATCATCTGAGCCCAGGAGGTTGAGGCTGCGGTAAGCTGTGATCTTGCCACTGCACTCCAGCATGAGCTACAGATTGAGACCCCGACTCAAAAAGTAAAATAAAAAATTAATAATACCAAGTGCTGTGGCTAGCACCCGTAATCTCAGCTACTTGGGTGGGTAAGATTTGCTTGAGACCAGGAGTTTGAGGCTGCAGTGAGTTATCGCACCACTGCGTTCCTGCTTGGGTGACAGAGCAAGACCTTGTCTCTTAAAAAAAAGAAAAAAGGCGGGGGACCCGAGCGTTGTGGCTCACATATATAATCCCAGTGTTATGGGAGGCTGAGGCAGGAGGATTGCTTGAGCCTGGGAGTTTGTGACCAGTTTGGACAACATAGCAAGATCCTATCTCTATTTAAAAAAAAAAAATAGCTGGGTGTAGAGGTACGGATCCATAGTCCCAGCTACTCAGGAGGCTGACGTGGAAGATTGTTTGAGCCCAGGAGTTTGAGGCTGCAGTGAGCTGTGATCATGCCACTGCACTCCTGCCTAGGTGACAGAGTGAGACCCTGACTCAAAAACAAACAAACAAGAACAAAAAAAACCCCACAAGTATATATTGTATGTACATAGTATAAGAAATATCTATACCGGTGATTTGCCTCAATCAGAGTACAGAGTACAGAGCATGAAGGGAGTGGAATTTAGGAGCTGTGAATATGGGACTTTAACAATATATATATATTTTTTAAGAGATAGACTCTCACTCTGTCACCCAGGCTGGAGCGCAGTGGCACACTCACAGCCACCCCAGTGTCAATCTGCTGGGCTCCGGTGATCCTTCCACCTCAGCCTTCCAAGTAGCTAGAACTATAGGCACACACTATTTTTTGATTTATTGTAGAGATGAGGTTTCGCCAAGTTTCCAGGGCTTGTCTCCAACCTGCAGGCTCAGGCAATCCACTTGCCTTGGCCTCCCAAAGTGTGGGATTACAAGTTGAACCACCAAGCTTGGTCTTTTTTTTTTTTTTTTTTTTTAGTGACAGGGTCTCAATATATTGTCCAGGCTAATCTCGAACTCCTGGGCTCAAGCAATCCTCCCACCTCGGCCTCCCAAAGTGCTGGGATTACAGGCATGAGCTACTGCACCCGGCCTAGTATCTTTTAAATTCCATGTCTTGCCTACCTTTCCAGCCTCGGCCCCAGCCCTGGCCCCTATACCCACTGCAATGTTGATGTCCAAGAAGAACCAGCATGCCATTTATGAACTCCTTTTAAAGGAAGGAGAGATGGTGGCTGAGTAAGATGTCTATATGCCTGAGCATCCAGAGCTGACCGAAAAGAATGTGCCCAGCCTTCACATCATGACGGCCATGCAGTCTCTCAGGTCTCGAGGCTACATTGAGGAACAATTTGCCGGGAGACATCTATACTGGTACCTTACCAAGGAGGGTACCCAGTATCTCCATGATTACCTCCACCTGCCCCCTGAAACTATGCTAGTCATCCTGTGCCCCAGGTATCCTGAGACAGGCAGACCTCAGCCCGGAGGTGTGGAGGTCCAGCGCCCTGCAAGACTTACACGAAGGGAAGCCAACAGAGACCACCTACAGATGGAGTGCTGTGCCCCCTGGTGCCCACAAGAAAGCCAAGGCTGGGGCTGGGTCAGCACCCACATTTCAATTTAGAAGCAGATTTGGTCACGGACATGGTCAGCCACCTCAGTAAAATTGGAGGGGATTATTTTGTATGGAAGGAACCCATAGCCAGAAAAACTTTTTTTCATTTCATTTCTTGGCCGGATGTAGTGGCTCACGCCTGTAACCTCAGCACTTTGAGAGGCGGGGGTTCGAGATCAGCCCGGGCAACTTGGCAAGACCTCGTCTCTATAATAAATCAAAAAATTTGCCGGGCGTGGTGGCACATTCCTGTAGTTCCAGCTATTTAGAAGGCTGAGACTGAAGGATCCCCTGCGCCCAACAAGTCCAAGCTGATGTGGCTGTGATCATGCCTGGGCAACAGAGTGAGACTCCAACTCAAAAAAAAAAAAAATTAGCTAGGTGTGGTAGCACATGCCTGTAGTCCCAGCTACTTGGGAACCTGAGGCAGGAGGATCACCTGAACCCAGGAGGTCAAGGTGTGAGCTGTGATTGTGCTATTCCTCTTTAGCCTGGGTGACAAATGAGACCCAGACTCAAGGAAAAAAAAAAAAAAGAAGAAAAGAGAAAAAAAAATATATGTATAGCAACACAAAAACAACAAAATGCTAATATCGGACAAATTTGGATGATGAATACACAGTATTTATGGTATCATTCTCTTACACTTTTTGGTAAGCTTGAAGCATTTTTCTTTAGAAATTCCTGTTAGAGGCATCTCCCTGCTGAGATCACTAAACTGGAGGGCGGGGTGGGGAGAAGAGAGGTAGATGGATCCAGAAAGTTCCAGGAAAAAATATCGTCACTAAGATCAGTCTCCCATGTGAAGGGAGTGGGGAGACAGGAGTAACGCTAGAAAGAGACAGAGTTGGACCCATACAAGGGGAGAGGGCTGGCAAGGATCGGCCTCAGTGGTGGGTGACCTCGAGACCAGGAGTGTCAGAGGCTGGTTGGGCCTAGGGGAGCCTCTGGGTAATGAAAATCCCTTCCTCACAGAGGGGGATGAGCTGAAGGTGTTGGAGAGAGGCTGTGCCTACCCAGAGAAAAACAACAACAGGACCATGAGCTATCGGAGTGGCTTACAGATCATCACCCTCACGGAGGCCGTGTGTGGGTCAGACCTGTGCAACCAGCCTGACTCTGGTGAGTAGGGCCGCCCTGGCCATCTGCAACCCCAGCCAGCACCAACTCAGCCTCATCTTCATCCCAGTCCTAGCCCCAGTCTAATACCACTGCAGCCCCAGCTCCGTGCCTTACTGGTCCTCACCCCAGCGTACCAGTCTCCAGTCCAGCCTCATCCCCAACCCATTCTATTTTGGGGATCTCACTCTGTTACCCAGGCTGGAGTGCAGTGGCATGATCAGAGCTCACTGCAGCTTCATCCTCCTGGGCCCAGGCGATCCTTCTGCCTCAGCCTCCCTAGTTGTTGGGATTATTAGGCACATGCCACCATGCCCAGCTAATTTTTTTGTAGAGACGAGGCCTCACTGTGTTGTCCAGACTGGCCTCGAACTCCTAGGCTCAAGCAATCCTTCTGCCTCAGCCTCCCCAAATGCTGAGAGTCAGTTGTGAACCACCACGCCCAGCTCCCAACCTGTTCTTAACCCCAACCCAAACTCAGCCTCACCTCCAATCCCATCCCCAACTTCATTTTACCACAACACTATCTCCAGCTCAAACCCATCCGTATTCCAGATACAGCTCTAAGCTCATCTTCAAATCAACCCCTTCATCTCAAACTATCCTGAATCCCACCCCCAACTACAGACTTACTCTTATCCCTAACCCTGTCCCCATCCTGCATGTTTGTATGTATGATGTTATTTTATTTTTGAGTTGAGAGTTGCACTGTCGCCCCACGTGGAGTGTAGTGGTACGATCATGGTTTATTGCAGCCTCGACCTCCTGGGCTCACGCAATCCTCCTGCCTCAGCCTCCTGAGTAGGTAGCACTATAGGCATACACCACCATATCTGGCTAATTTTTTGATTTTTATCTTGCCCAGCTGGTCTTAAACTCCTGGGCTCAAGCAGTCCTCCCACCCTGGCCTCCCAAGGTACTGGGATTACAAGTGTGAGCCACCGTGTCCATCATGTATGTATGGTGTTGTGTGTAAGATACAACACCTTTCCTTAAGAAGCTCATGCACATGATGGAGATGTGAATGATGTGTCTTACTGATGTTTGTCTACCTGATTGTTTCCATGGGGACAGGAGATAGTCTAAGCAATAGATGTTGGGGGCGCAAGATGCAAGCAGAGACTTAAAGTTCTTAATGAAAGTCAAAAAAGGGGAGGATAAGACAGGCTGGGCTGGGCTTGGAGAGTCCCCTGGCACAGATGCTTTTTGTCTTGGGCAGTGAAAAAAGGTGAAGAAACTCCCACAAGCCCTTTGGCAAGTTTCTTGACTTTAGGCTCTGGTCAGTTTAAGAAAAGAAAGAGTAAGCTGGGTGCGGTGACTCATGCCTGTAATCTCAGCACTTTGGGAGGGAGGTGAGAGGATTGCCTAAACCCAGGGGTTCAAGACCAGCCTGGGCAACTTGGCGAGACCTCGTCTCTACAATAAATTTAAAAAGTAGCCAGGTGTGCTGGCTTGTGCCTGTAGTTCCCAGCTACTTGAAAGGCTGAGGTGGAAGGATCGCCTGAGCCCAGCAGGTCGAGGGCG